GGGGGGGGATTGAGGCCGCAGACAGAACGGGCAAGGAAGGACACGAACGCGGCGCGGGTGGGACGCGACGGAGGGGCGGCGCAAGAGCTGCAGCACGGAGATTCTCTGCAGTGAGTGTGCGTGGTGCTACCGTACCTGGAGGCATTGCGAGGAGTAGTCCAATCGTTCGGCGTCCAAAGCGGTCGTTTGCCGGACAGGCGCGGGCAATTCGCGGCGTGGCAAGCCCGGGCGCAATTTGGCGACTACAATCTAAGTGGCCGCCGTCATCACGAACGCGACGGGCGGGCAAAATGATTGATGGGTGGCTGGGGCTGAAGGTCTGAGCTTCCAAAGTGGCTCGAGTGGCTCAGCATAAGAGGCACCTAGGCAGAGCCGGCAGGAGCGTGCCACAGGCCGGCAGCCACACCGGGGCCGTGCGTATTGAACTTTAATCGGCACCAAGGGTCCGAAACGTTAGTTTGGTCGGCCCCGGCTCGCTCGAATTAAATACCCCGGGCCGCGGATTGCATCTTGCCTGGCCTTGCGATTCGCGAGGGAGCCAGCGGCGAGAGTTGACCAGAACCCATGCTAGCGGCAAGCCTTGGAGCAGGCCGACCAGATCTAGAAGGCAGGAGGCCGCAGCGCAGAGGACGAGAAGCATAACGCAGCCCTCACGTGCTGCGCTAGCGCGAGAGCCTGATGCGCCATGCATCTCTGCGGACCTTGCCGTCCTGCTTACCGGCCCGCCGCCGTCAGGTTGGCGAGAGGGCGGAAGGGACCAAGCGAAAGGAGACAAAGGACGAACGAGCCGCCAAGTGAGCCGGTGCGTGGCGACTACGCACCTAGTTCTCCTGCTGGGTAAAAACCCGAGGTTCAACATCCGTCATCTTGGCTCTGCAAATATGGTGACCTAGAACCTGCGCAACAAGCTCCCTTGCAGCCACGCCAAGGTGCTCCCATTTCACACGTCTTGATACGGGTCCCCACCACAAGACCAAGCCACCACTTGATACGGCCAGTTGCGATGTTCTACAAGGTATATGTAATATATAAAGGTAGCAGAGTATTTGACCGGTTCAGGGCGGCAAGACGACAAAATGAGCCGAACAAGAATAAAAAACACCGAGATTGTAACCCTTCCAATAAACGAACAGAGCCTATACACAGTACACTATCCCTGATCCATGTCTTAGCAGACTGACCTTTCGTCAACTTGCCTGTCTGGGTGGAGATACTTTTTTCTCTCTCTCATTCTTTCAGCATGGGCTTCCATCGCACGACGCGGAGTGCCGAACAGCCAGCCATATGATCCGTATTCATGCCGCCGTCATTTCCCTGCCTGTTATACTGACCGAGGTCCGGAGGAGAAATATTTCTCCATACGGGTGCTATGTCATGTCACTTCTTACCGGTTTTGTGCTTCGAGACACTGGTAGCTAGCATCAACAGCCATACGATTGAAACCTATAGATGGAAGCAAAAGGTCCCGTGCATCAAACATGGCGCATTCATCACGAACGCCACTGATGGTCCAGCTGCTGCAAAGCGAAAGGGTGAAGCACATGCCTCTAGGCAGCCAACCAATGTGAGTCCAGCCAATTAAGGTGCCTATAGCCAAATGTGCACGTTTTTGATATAGATCTCCATTCTGGGGGGCACTAAGCCCGATGGATAAACGCGTCTCCACGATTCGTGCGTGATATGCGATATTATGCCTGCGCATCGGTAATAAAATGGGTCGGATGTGCAGATTAGTGCACCGAGATGCGCTGCCTTGTCCCCTCCAAGCCGCCGCCCGCCCGCTCTGCTAGCCAGATTGGGGACGTACTAGCCGGGTACCTGCTTTCATCCTCGCCCACATTCACCTGGTAGCATCCGTATTCAGCCATGAGCGAGCGCGCGGGGGCGCGCGGTGGGCATCGGCGAGACACTACAATGACAACAAAATGACGGTTGCGACGCTGTTCGCATTGGCGTGCGTGGTCACGACCAAATTCAGCAAGAGAGAAGAACCGAGGAGAAACGGAGTGCTGGGCACCTAAGCCCGTCGTCTCTCCTGGTACGGGGCGTGGCCGGTCGGCCAAACTATCCCATCATCGTCGCCTCGGGCTTGCAGTGGGGGTAAGGCCCTCATTACTTCTTTCCCTTGGGGCGGGCTAGATAGCACAACGGATATTTGCCTGCGCTCTCTCTGCGTGTGCCCAGCCGGCGGCGGGTTGGTCTGGTTGTTGCTGCTGCTGGCCGGAGACCAAAGCACATCGTTAAGATGACGGACGGGTCCAATGTCACTCTGTAGATTTATCCTTGCGCCTGGCGCGTGCAGTTTGTGAGATGTGTAGCGCCTTGTGGGTTAGCTCGGGAGACCTCCCCCATCTGCATCTGTGCCCCCCCACCGCAGCACAGATCAGGTCGGAGAGATGCTCAGATCTGCTTGAGAGCTGAGCCCGCGCGCCACCGCAACCGTCGGCGGGGAAAGGCCCTCACGGACAGCGGCTTCCAGGTGCCAATGGCATTGATGACCACGGTCCCGATAAGACCTCGGCTCGGGCCAGTGTCAGCTTAGACGGCTGGGATATAGCAGGCATGGAGCAAGAATGCCGAGTTATTCCCATCCGGGAATATCACATCCGGCACGCAGGCATCGTCCGGGTGTGATTTATCATCTGCACCGCTTCGTTGAGCAGCCGTGACGGCGGCGAGATGTGTCCAGCTGTCTGTGTCCGGAGATTATGAAAACGCCCAAAGGTCGAACATAATTTTGGAAATGCAAGCCCCCGCCTGTTGCGTGGCACTAGGGATGCAGCCTCCTTGAGCCTGTGCCTGATTTGTCCTGGTGCCGCTCCTAGTCCGCATATGTTGCATATCAGGCCACACCTGCGTTTGCCCACGATTTGTGACGCGAGGCTCCGGGCCACCACCCCCAGTGGGACGGGGAAAAATAGGAGAGGCCTGTCAAAGTCGCGGCCCAGCAGAGGGGTATTTGGACATGCCAATTCAGCAACAGCCCATGTTTTTAGGATGGAAGGAACGACAATAGAGCAGGGGCATGGCTATTGTTCCTAAAGGCCGAGTTCCAGAATCCCGGGTGCTTGGGGGTTGAGGTTGGAACCGTGGAAGCCGTCAGTTCCTCGCAAATGAGAGCAGAGCCGTTGCTCCTGGTCGGAAGGATATCCCTCCCTGCTTCTGATCGGATCGAGTGGTTTGGAAATCATGGAAGAAAAAAAACGGGCTGCTGTATCTTGCCAGAGGACTTTCCTTCGCTTAGGTGGGTCTACGTTCAAAGACGCTGATCGGTACCGAATCTCGTCACAAACCGACAGCAGCCGTGACTCGGGCACTTTACGTTTCTTCATCTCCCTGCCTGGGTGGTACCCAGTATCACTGTGGGCCTTCTTCTTGCTCCCGTCTTCTCTTACTACAGGCCTGTTCTGATATCATAATCTGCATTGCCTTTTTGCTATCCGTAGTGCAGACAAGTGGTGCCAGCCATCCTTGTCGTGGACAAAATGCAGCACCTCAGCAAGAGCTCCCTGACGCAGCCCGCTTCAAACCCACAGACACGCGACTAATAACGGGCGCAGACGCTGAGAGAGGAACAAGCCGGGCCCACCCACACCCACACGGGTCGTGCTTCCCTGGGCGTCTCTGGGGGGCTAGGGCCCTGGCGGTTTTCGCTGAGGAACAAACAAAACGGCGACCGCAAGAAGCAACCTAGCCGCTGCCCGGTCGAGAAACGGAACCTGGCCGAGAGCACCACCCACCCACCCACCTGCCTGGGCGGAGCCCAGGGAAACGAGGGCTTGGCCCACTCTAGCACCTGGGCAACCCAAGAAACAGCTTGCGACCCCTGCCATCTGAACTCTAGCATTCTAGCGCGAGCGAGGCGCCCGGACGACGACGGGACCTTTCACTCTGGATCCCGCGCCCGACAAAATTCCACGACTGCACCACGGCCTTTTCCCTCTGATTTCCTCCCAGTCCATCCCATGGCCACACCCCCGGCCTTGGTCCAGATCAGCAGGCGAATGACGGAAGGACCAGGCAGAACCCTCGCACGCCAGGGGTGTGCCGTGGAAAACGGCTAGCCCCCATTGGACAGCGCGGCGACGCACTCCCGGACAGGGCCAGTCGCAGCGGCGGCGTTGCAGTCATAATTTAACGAGCTACTGCAGCTCCAGCAAGGGGAGGACTGGCCGTGGGCAGGGACGGGGACGCCCTCTCGCACTGCGTCTCCTCTTCGATTGTACATGCGTCTGCAGTAGTGCCCTTTTCGTCCATCCTCTCCTCCCTCTCCCTCTCGCTCCTCCTCCCGCTCCGGGCGGCCTGCATGACGAGACCAGCAGCAGCGCGTCTGTGGCGCGAGCTTGGGGAGAACGCGTTGGACACCACGTCTACAGGACCAAGAGGACCCAAATACCAAGCATCTTCTCCGCCGGATGGGAAGCATCCCCGTGGGTCCAGACTGTGACCACCGGAAAGCCCTCCTGTCCATCTTCCCACACGGCCACCCCTCGCGTTGTATTATTTGTCTCGTCTTCCCAGAGGCAAGGGCAGGGGGGCCCGCTGGCCTGTCATCGCTCGGCTTGGACGGCCTTACCTAGCGTTGGATGCTTCCACTTTCACTCCACTCCCCATGTCCTCTGGATAACCCCGTCCACGGCCTTCGACGGACGCATCGACAGAGTGTGATGGCACATAATCCCGCCGAGGGCTAATCCGCGCTACGATTGGTACGTACCAGCATAGCCGAAGTGCAGGCGAGAGAGCGTGTGCGTGGGCCTACAGGGCGATGGAGGACAAGAGAGAAGACAGGACCGTTGATACCCTCTCCCGCATGCAGGGCACATCCCTATCACTAGACGCCCCACGCACCTTTCCTCGTCCTCCACACACCCAAAGGCATACTTTTATCCACAGCGTATTCCCATCCATCCCGTTCCCGCTCCTTTTGCTCTCGTCCACCACAGGAGATCCCTGAGCCAGGAAAGAGGGTGCCGCCAGCCTGCCGCCATCCGCCGGCCGCTGCATCGCGCACTCACTCGCGGCCTTGCCAGCCCGTTTGATCTTCTTGATGGTATGCAGAGCTCGTGCCACCTGAGCAGAGCAGCAGCAGTCGTAGCGTGTCACCTCGACCGCCGATAGGGCCCGTTGCCCAACGACGCTCCCTCACATCCATCAAGAAGGAACCGACACAGCGGCAGCGGCAGCTTCTTGTGGGTCGGCACGGAGGGCGCAACGGCGCGGGGAGCGAGCCATGGCTGGGTCCGAGGAGCCGCAGCCACAGCAGCAGCAGCAGCAGCAGCAGCAGCAATCGGTCGAGCTGCCCGCGACCAAGGCCCCCAAGGATAAGAACTGCCCCTACTGCGGCCAGGCCTTCACGTCGTCCTCGCTCGGCAGACATCTCGACCTGTACATCAAGGAGAGGAACCCGAAGCCTCCAGATGGCCTCCACGACGTCGACGAGATCCGGAAGATGCGAGGGAGCATCACGAGGAGGCATCCGCGTGCCTCGCTCGGCCGCCGGGAGACGCTGACCCCTGTGGGCACCCCGACGACCGCGTCCAGGAGGAGTCCGCTTTCGGACGCCGAAGGGTCCACGCCCAGGTCTCCTGCCGTCCCCAAGTCGGCCACTGTCGGCGGCCACGGCTTTGGAGGGAGATGGGATGGCGGTGTCGGCTCGGCTGCCGGCGACACCCCGGGCGGCCGGAGTGTCGACCAGGCGCCAGACTCGGCGAGGAGACCGGTGCCGACGAGGGCCGTCAGCAGACACATGGTCAAGTCCCAGTTCGACATGAAGCAGAAGATCCAGGATGCGCTAGACACGTCGAGGGCGGCCGAGTTGGCGCTGCGGGAGCTTGTTAGCTCGTGGAAGGCAGCCAAGTACGTTTGCTCTCGCACAGCCGCGATGAAACGAAACATTTGACATCATCAATGTTTCGAAACAATCGCGGCCCCTCCCCCCATCCGAACTGAAACATGGCTTACTGACCTGTCACCTTTTGCACTGCCGCGTAGGACCCATATCGACGTCAACTCAATGCCATTCGACTTCCAGCCGCTATCACTCGACTTCCCAGCACTGGCGCTACAGTGCCTACAGACGCCGCCGACCCTCTTCTCCTCAACGCAGCACCCAACCTCAACCTCGTGGTCCATCCTGCCACCCGGCCAGAAGCAGTTCGAGGCGTTGACGGCTTACTTCCGCGACGAGTTCCAGAGGTGGAAGGTCAAGTGCGCCGCCGCCACGACCGCCATCGAGGAAGATCTTAGCTATCCCTCCGCCCACAGCGCTGCCCATGCCGAAAGCAAGGAGGCCATCAAGACAGCCGAGAAGGCTGCCGAGACTCTCGAGGCCCAGGTGACGGAGCACTTGCAGTCGGCGTATGCGGTTTGGGAGGGGCTCCCGCCTCAGCGACAAAGCGAGCTGTGGGTCTTGGAACTCGCTCGCGGCGTGGGACGCAAGCAGAGCGAGGTGGACAAGCTGAAGGAGACGCAGCAGTCGATGAAGCAGGAGAATGCTCACCTCAAGGCACAGATCGAGCAGCTCAGCCGTGTACATCAGCCACGGGAGTTTAGCATGCTCTCCCCGACCACGATACCCATGAAGGAGGGCATGCTTGACTTCCTGCACGAACAGAGTGTCGTCCATGGCCGCAAGGGTGTGGCTTTCACTCTGGACGACAGGCAGTCGGACGTGAACACAATTGTTGCCCGAACTATCGACCGGTGGAAGAGCGTCATCGTCACTGCCAGGTCGGCCAACACCCTGAACGCCCAGAGGCCGCTAGATCAAGCCGCGGCGCCCCCACCCCCATCAGCACCTCCGGCAGAGGGCGCCTCTCAAGCGACAGGCGCGACTGCTGCCACGACGCCCGTGACGGCAGCTCCTCCGCCGAGGTCGCAACAGTTGCAGCAGCAGCCACAACCACAACCGCAGCAGCAGCCTAAAATCCCCCCGGTACCGTCCATACCACAACAGCACATACCAGTTCCGACACTGCAACCCGCACCGAAATCACGAAACCTGGAGACAGCCACAGTGTCTTTCGAGCAGCCAGTAGCCGCAACTGCCAGCCCGCCTGAGCCATCGCCAGTCGAAGTGAAGAGCACGCCACTATCGCTCGATGATACGAGCGACCTGGATGCCGATGCCGAGATGGACGATGACGAGGAGGGGTATGCCGCAATGAGCGCACCGTTGGCCAAACCCATGGTCACAACTGCACCTCTAGCTATGCCAATGCAGGCAACGCCGAAGCTTGAAGTGCAGCGCACGAGGGGGCCTGCGCAACGGACAACGACAGCAGCCGGTAGTCCGTATGCGAGGAGTGCCAGCCACGCGGCGACTGGCGCTGGTGTTCGTGGCAAGGGCTCCGCGCTAAGCAACCGCTCCGTTACCAACATCGGTTCGGCCATGCAACGTCACGTCGCCAGGGGAGGGAGCATGTCGGCTTTTGCGGCACAACCCGACATGAGTGTCCCCATCCAGGACACGGGTGGCGGCGGCGACCCTATGTTTATGGACTAGCTGACCAACCCTGCGTTCCACCCAAGTAATCAAGGGCCCTGATGGTTCGCGGGGGTCAGCTGTCATCGCCCCAATGCCCCCAGGAGCTATGAGCCCCTGGTCTCGTGGATGCTGAGACCTCGGGAAGATTAGTTGTCACAGTGATACCCAAACACCACTTACATTAATATAGGCACCAACTTCGCAGGGCACCGACATGATGCGAAGGCATGACCGTCGCGTGCCTTGAGCGGAGGTGCCTAGAATACCACCCACCAAACGTCGCTCGCCAGCACATTTTCCTTTTTCCATTTCGCTTCTATTTTGGCTGCTGACCTGGGTCTTATTTATTCTTGTAATCATACTTTCAACGGGAGCCGTCTCTCTGCAGCCTGAGGAGACGACTCCCATCGACCCTTAACTTCATGATCTTCTTTCTCATTTTGCAATGTTTTATTAGCTTCCGTCCGAGTAACGTCTCGAGGGAGTGTACTGGGCACTCGGCGGTTTCATTTATTGGGGGTTTGGCGACACAACATGCCGGGGATTTTCGATTGTTGTAATAGACGCAGCGCTCGCCGCGCCCAGCTTTTAGGAGAAAACGGATTACAGAGTTGTCGCTGCCTGATCCCATGCATTTTATATCCCATGCATTTTATCTGATTCGACCGGAGACTTTCGTGGGGCTATGACGATGTTGGCTGTGTGGCGCCTAGCATGGGGAAACACCCAGACGCACGCCTAGGTTCCATCAGGGCCTGGAGCCTCACGTCGGCAGCTAGGGACCTTAGCCGGCAAACGATTGCCGCCCTCGGGAAGGACAGCTGAACGGGGGGAATCTGTCAGATCTCATATCCTGGAGCCGGCACGGCGAGAAGTCGAGCTGACCCTGACCCTGTTGGAGGCTGGGCATTAGCCCGCTCAGGCCGGTGAGGTTAAATTGGCTGGTTCATGCGAGCCTTCTCTGGAGCCCCTCACGAGGCTGAGCCGCAGACATGGCTTTGCGACGCACCCACCGGCCACGGCACTTGGGCTTCGAGGCCCGAAAATCCAGGGCGCCAAGACGTACGAAAAAGGAAGCGAGATGCAAGTGCTGCGAGAATGGGCGAGCTCGATGATGTATGTTGTGGCGCCTGCGAGACGGCGCATGTCAGTGGTTGTTTCGTCGCCTTCTTCTTCCTGCTCTCTCGCTTTCCCGACTTCTGCACCCTCTTTTCTTTGGGGTTTGTTCAAGTCTTATATTCCCTTCAAAGAATCCAAACAGAGACCCCCAATCCGGGCTGTGGCTAATCACCTCTGTGCCCTGAGATGAGCCACATTAACCAGCACTTTAAACCCTTGGCCGGCAGCGACAACACTGGACCCGCCCCCACTGACTCACTGGCTGTGGACCTGATTGATTGACTCAACTGCGCTTCATCGATTTTACCCCGCGCAAGCTTCTGTGTATAATTTTTGAAAGGCGCCCAAGCACGCAGGCGCCCAGGCCAAGACAACAACCACCTCCCACACATCTACAGATTCTGCCATTGACACGGCGTTTGACACGCTTCAGGTTGCAAACATGGCCGACTCAAGCTCGCAAGCGCCGCCCACCGAGCAGGTGGAAAACCTCCACCTCGATGAGGTCACGGGCGAGAAGGTGCGCACAACAACGCGACGCGGGATTCCTCCTGGCCTTGCTGCTGCCCACGCCCAGGCCCTTCCTTCGTCTCTTGCCACCCGGCTAACATGCTGCTTACTGCCGCATAGATATCTAAGACGGAGCTGAAGAGGCGACAGAAGGCCCGCCAAAAGGCCGACGAGAAAGCCAAGAAGGCCGCTGCGGCTCCGCCCAAGCCCGCCGTCGCCAAGAAGGCTGCCGCCGACGAGCAGGAGCTCAACCCGAACCAGTACTTTGAGATGCGCAGCCGTGAGACCAAGGCCATGCTCGACGACCCGTCCGGCCCTAACCCCTACCCGCACAAGTTCCTCGTCGACTACGACGACTCCAAGTTCGAGGCCGAATTTGGCCACCTCAAGTCGGGCGATGTCGACAAGACCAAGGAGATCGGGATAGCCGGCCGCATCTTCACCAAGCGCTCGGCAGGCACCAAGCTGATCTTCTACGACATCAAGACGGGCGCCGACACGGTGAGCACGGGCACCAAGATGCAGATCATGTGCCAGGCCCAGTACGTCAAGGACGGCGGCGTCCCCTTTGACAAGCAGCACGAGCACCTGGGCAGGGGAGACATCATCGGCATTGTGGGCTACCCCGGCAGGACCGCGCCCAAGGGGAAGCTGGAGAAGGGTGAGCAGGGCGAGCTTTCGCTGTTCGCGACCGAGGTCGTCCAGCTGGCGCCCTCGCTGCACCTCCTCCCCGGCGAGCGCTCCGGATTCACCGATAGCGAGAAGCGCTTCCGCATGCGCTATCTCGACCTCATGTTCAACGACCGGTCGCGCAAGGTCATGTGGCAGCGCAGTAGGATCATCAAGTACATCCGCGACTTCTTCCACGAGCGCCGCTTCGTCGAGGTCGAGACCCCCATGATGACGGCCGTTGCCGGAGGCGCTACCGCGCTGCCCTTCGTCACCCATCACAACGACTACGACATCGACATGTTCATGCGTATTGCCCCTGAGCTGTACCTCAAGATGCTCATCGTCGGTGGCTTCAGCAAGGTGTTTGAGATTGGCAAGAACTTCCGCAACGAGGGCGTCGACCTGACGCACAACCCCGAGTTCACCACGATCGAGACGTACGCGGCCTACTATGACATGTACGACGTCATGGACTACACCGAAGAGCTGGTCTCGGGGCTGGTCAAGGAGCTCACTGGTGGCTACAAGACCACGTACACGCTGCAGACGGGCGAGAAGCTCGAGGTCAACTGGGAGAGGCCCTGGAAGCGCGTCAAGATCATGCCGGAGCTGGAGAAGCTGACGGGCAAGAAGTTCCCACCCTACGACGAGCTCCACACGGACGAGACCAACGCCTTCCTGCAGGCGCTGCTCAAGGAGAAGAACATCGAGTGCACCCCGCCCCTGACCAACGCGCGCATGCTGGACAAGCTGATTGGCGAGTACCTCGAGGAGACGTGCATCAACCCTACGTTCCTGATGGAGCACCCTCAGATGATGTCGCCGCTTGCCAAGTACCACCGCACTGAGAAGGGCATCTGCGAGCGCTTTGAGGGCTTCGTCTGCAAGAAGGAGATCTGCAACGCCTACACGGAGTTGAACAACCCATTTGACCAGAGGATGAGGTTTGAGGAGGTGAGTGACGCGAAAGCACCTGATTTTCCCCTCCCCACCAAGAGCCCACCACTGGCATCTTCCCAATGAGGTTCGGCGTCTAACAACCCCACAGCAAGCACGCCAGAAGGCACAGGGAGACGACGAGGCGCAGATGATCGACGAGAACTTCCTTCGCTCGCTCGAGTACGGCCTGCCGCCGACTGGAGGATGGGTAAGTCTGAATAAAGCCAGCTTCTATGTCTGGGAAGGGAATGAGTTTGGGTGCAGGAAGCTGACGAAATATACGTGACATAGGGTCTCGGAATCGATCGCTTGACTATGTTCCTGACGGACAACTACACCATCAGGGAGGTGCTGGGCTTCCCGTTCATGAAGGATGAGAAGAACGGCCCCCCAGAGAAGTTCGCCGCCGAGCTCACAAACGTCGAGCCCCTTCCGGAGGAGGGTATCGGTAAGTCACTCTGGGAGTATGAGACGATTTGGTTAGAGGTTGGAAGATTATAGGATTGCTGCTAACACTATGGTCATGTTCAGCCCACAAGTAAGCGGACAAAAATATGAAAAAAAGGAAGAAAAAATATCAAGCTTGGGCTTTGTGTGGTGAACATCCAAGTCGTAAAGCAACGAGGCGATTTCACGTCTAAAGTCAAGTCCAACCTAAAGGTGGATGTACCTTGTAGCTGGCTAGAAGCAGAATGAGAACAAGTGTAACAAGCAAACTGTGAGGAAAAAAAGGAGTTTAGGATTTCACGCGTTGGGGTTCGCCTGATGTAGGTATGAATGGGGATTTTAGAAACGTATAATGTACAGACTCCGGATTTTCTCTAGCCCCTGGGTATAGACCGGAATCCTGTGTTTTGGTTTACAGTCCCCGCCAAAGATTCATTACATCAAGCCCCTGGGCCCCGGGCGCTCAAAACCGCTTCGCGGGCAGGGGAGCAGGGCCCTTGGAGGCCTGCAGGAGGCGCCTCTGGATCAGCAGGGCGGTGGACTTTGAGATGCGCAGGCGGTGCAGCAGCACCAGGGAGCCCGTCAGCAGGGCCAGGGCGCCGGCCTGGTGGGTGGCGGCGAGGTGAGTTGGGACCATGTAGACGAGGGTGCTGATGCCCAAGGCGACCTGGGCGACGGCCAGGTGCAGGACGCCCATGGCGCCCTTGCGGACGTCGGGGGGCAGGGCGGCGGCGACGCGGCGGGAGCGCGAGTAGGCGAAGAGGGCGACGACGGCGCAAAAGGTGGTGACGGCCAGGGCGCGGTGCTCGAGCTGGACGAGGCTCGGGTTCTCGAGGGCATTGCGCCACCACAGGTCCGAGCCGTCGTCGCGGCGGCTGTAGAAGGCGTCGAACAGCTCGGGCCAGGCCGGGGCCAGGCCGGTGCCCATCATGGGGAACTCGTTGTAGATGAGGCCGGCGTCGAGCCCGGCGACCAGGGCGCCCGACATGGCCGTGACGAAGACGAGGGCGGTGACGGCGTGGGCGGAGCGCGAGAAGTGTCTGAGAGCCGGGCTGCGCAGCCGCTCGACCAGGGCGGCGGCGGCGGCCGGGTCGGCGACGAGGCGGCGGGCGCGCAGGGCCGAGAGGCCCGAGAGCAGCATCCACGAGTAGCAGACGAAGGCGGTGCCCAGGTGGGCGGCCAGGCGGTACTGCGACACGCGCGGGTGGGAGCCCGGGGCGAAGAGGTCGTCTCGCAGGCCCGACTTGACCATCCACCAGCCGATGAAGCCCTGGAGGCCGATGAGGGCGCTGATGCCGGCCAAGTTGAACGCCATGCGGCGGGTGACCCGGCGGCGCGCGACGAAGTAGGCGGCCGGCAGGACAAAGGTGAGGCCGATGACGCGGCCCCAGAGCCGGTGCGTCCACTCCATGTAGTAGATCTTCTTGAACTCGTCGAGCGTCATGCGCGAGTTGAGCACGGCGAACTCGGGCGAGGCGCGGTACTTTGCGAACTCGGACTCCCAGTCGTCGTCGCTGCGCGGCGGCAGCGAGCCCGTCACGGGCCGCCACTCGGTGATGCTCAGGCTGCGGAGGAGGGGGGGGCTGTTAGTACTTTTGTGACAGGGGGTGATAACCCAAGGGAGGGGGCATATTCGCTCACCCGGACTCGGTGAGCCGCGTCAGGCCGCCAAAGACGACGATGCCGAACACGCTGGCGACGCTGCCGATGAGCCAGACGCCCACAGCTTTCGAGTTGGTCTCGGGGAAGGACGACGACGACGATGAGCCGGCGCCGCTCCCCGAGGCCGAAGCGGTTGCCGCCGCCTCGGGCGCGGCGCTGCTAAACGCCTTGCTCCCGCCCAGGGGCCAGCTGGCTCGCAGCGGGGTCCGCGGCGCCGTTGCAGAGGCCGTCCTCGCCGAGGCGAAGCTCCGGGCCAGGGCGGCGAGGCGCACCGGCGGCGGCGGCGTCTGCTGGCGGAGGCATTGGCGGCAGACAAAGGACGGGGCCGATGATAGCCTGGCCAGCGCGCGAGGGGTGCCGCTGTGTATGAAGGACATGGCTGGAGACTGTCCAGGCCGGCAACTCCCGAGGGGAGGGCGTTGCGTGATGGCGGATCTCAATATTTGAGCTGGGAGAGCTTCAGGGAGCTGGAAAGCTGCGTCAAATAGCGGCAGCGCAATTGGCCCGAATCCAAACCGGCCATTGAAGTGGCGTGATGGTGGGTGGAGCTACGGAGCTACAGTACCGAAACGGGCAAGTGGGGGCCATGGGAATACCCTCGGGTTCCGTCGAGATTGGATACGGCCTCACCTGCATAGAAGCTGTCCAAGGCTGTTGAGAGTGGGAGATAAAAGCACGCTGTGCAGAAGCCATCAAATACAGATACCGAGCTCATGTTACGCAACTATATCAACATATCTCAACCCAGCGAGAAGGGATGTAGCCGAAGAGGACACTGCCATGGCAACTGCAATAATCTCATGTCCATCGATTCTCTCCTCCGTCATGCTGCTGGGGAAGCTAGGAAGGGGTGACCCTTCAACTCGGAGATGCTCGGTCGCTCATCAACATTTCTGCGGGGAGGCATGTTAGCACTATACAGATAATTCGCCTTCCATGGGGAGGTCTCTTACACTGTGAAGCACTGGCGCAGAAAGTCCAGCGCCAGGTCGCTGTCCGGAAGGCTCTTGACCCTGTCGGACACCAGCAGGTCGAAGCCCGACTTTTGGTCTTGCCGGAGCTGCGCCGCGATCGAGGCGGCCCTGCCCGAGACGGCATCCTGCTTCCCCGACAGTAGCTGCGCCGCAAGGACGCCGAGCAGCCAGACGTCGGCCTTGCGCATGCTCGCCCCCTGCCCAAACACGAGCTCGGGCACCGTCAGGCACGCCGGCGGGAGGGGCTCGCCCGTGACGGCTCTATCGCAGAAGAACGGGCCGTCGAGCTTGATCTTGCCCTGGCTGTCCAGAAGCACGCGCTTCGGGTCGACAAGGGCCACCGCGAGGCCGCGTCTCTGTAGGCGCTCGAGGGCCCCCACGACCTGCCGGAGGATCGAGGCCGCCATCGACAGCTCCACCCCCTTCTTCCCCGCGCCCTGCGCGAGGAAGTCCTCGAGCGTGCCGCCGGGCATGTGCTCTGTCAGCAGATAGCTGTGGCCGTCACTGCGCTTGTGTCCAATGTAGGCAACGACGGGCTGTTCGGGCTGCTGCTGCTGCTGCTGTTGGAGCTGCGAAGCCACGCTTTTCAGCACAGCGACCTCGCCGAACTCGTCAAGGTCCAGCCTTTCCGCCGAAATGAGCACGCCGGTGTCGAGCCTCAGGGCCAGAAAGACTGGCCCGTACCGTCCATCTCTGAGTTTTTGACCTTCTTGGATCTGGAGGTCGAAGGTGCTGGCTGTGTTGGACTCCATGTCGGGGTGTGTTGTAGAAGAGAAAGAGATGGCTTGAGGGTATAGAGGAGGCTAATTGTTTTCTGGAGATCTGTGGGAGGCTGAGAAGGCAGACAAGTAAAAGAACTAACAAGCTAGGACGGCATGCACCTTGGGGGAGAAAAAAAACATCGACGTAGACAAAGAGTGAATATATAGCCCGATGTGCCTTGAGTGACTGCGGGGCCTTACACTAATGTGCAGCGGCACATCATGCACATGGGTTTCGAGTGACAGCCTAGCGGCCGCCGTGGTGGCGGCTGAGTGGCCTGGCGTGTCTGGGCTGCAGGGGCGCCTCAATCCTTCGGGGCGCTGCGGGTTTCCCACACATCTCCATATTTTTGGGCTTACACGCTCGGCAGGTGGCTTTGCATCCAAATTGCTGGAAACCCTGGGCGAGGCCACCAGCCGTATGCTGATGTCCAATGCCAGCCACTGGGACAGCGCCGAGTGAAACATTGCTTCGCCTTCCAAATGCCGGGGTTGCTCTCCCACGAACACTTAGCTCTTGTGGGCGAAGGATCTCCTCACTCGGACAGTTGGCTGGCCTCGCCCAATCGACCTTGGCCATTGAATGAAGGCATCGCCACGTTTTGTCAACATTCCCATGCCCACCATACTGCTTACTCTGGAGATCGACTTAGGCCACCCGATGCGGGCCTTGGCCTGGCGCCGTTGAAGGCAACAGCCATACCGAGATTAATGGTCGAGCAGGGCCTGTATATTCGGCCCACGTAGCCGAAATAGTAGATATCCTCAATATATATAAAGGACTTTGACGATGCCCGAAAAGCTTTTGAATCGGCCTTCCTATCCATCAAGCAATCATCACATTCTTCTACCATCTACAGCAGCTTCTCACATCTTTTAACCACTCTAGCAATCTTCTCTACGACCCTCCTATCTTTCCCATTCATCTCTACCAACACCGCAAATATGCAGTTCCTTTCCCTCCTCAGTATCATCCTTGTCGTCCCCGCCGCTATCGCCGCTCCGGCGGACCTGCAGGCCCGCCAGGATCCCACGTTCGAGAAAGGTCTTTCCAGGGATGCCATCGCTATGCTCCGGAAGCTTAACGCCGGCTGCTACAAGAAGTGCATTGACCAGTGCAACTCTTTCAGCGCGGCCGGCCCGGCCATGGTGCAAACCTGCATCAACCGTAACTGCGCGCCCATGGCCCGCGATGGCCGCTGCCTCCGCGACCGCCGCCACGGTACTCGCGACCTGCCCGCCGAGCCCGAGGTCCAGGCCGAGGCTGACGCCAGCGCCAGCGGCCCCGCCGCAACCCTCCGCGCCCGGAACATCGAAAAGGGCCTTTCGAAGGAGGCCGTTGCTATGCTCCGGAAGCTTAACGCCGGCTGCTACAAAAAGTGCATCGACCAGTGCAACTCCTTCAGCGCGGCCGGCCCGGCCATGGTGGAAACCTGCATCAACCGCAATTGCGCCCCTATGGCCCGTGACGGCCGCTGCCTGCGCAGCGGTAGGAACGGCACCCGGGATCTGCGCACCAAGCCGGAGGCCCGGGCCGACGTCGATGCCGATATCGAGACCGCTGCCCCCGCCGCGACCCTCCGCGCTAGGAACATCGAAAAGGGCCTCTCCAAGGACGCCATCGCCATGCTCCGGAAGCTCAATGCCGGCTGCTACAAGAAGTGCATCGACCAGTGCAACTCTTTCAGCGCGGCCGGTCCGGCCATGGTGGAGACCTGCATTAACCGAAACTGCGCCCCCATGGCCCGCGACGGCCGCTGCCTGCGCAGCGCCAGGAACGGCACCCGGGGCCTGCGCGCCGAGCAGGCCGACGCCGAGGCCGACGTCAACGTCGACGCCGAGTAGGCGGCTCGCGGCAGCAAACGTGGGGGGGGGGGGGGGGGGGG